ATCTCCCCAAAACCCCAAAACCCCAAAACCCCATAATAAATTATGAAACTTGAAAAAATAAACTTATTTAAATAAAGATGATCAATGACCCATTAGTAATGTTTGGCTCTATCAAGATCTTTGACGGGCTCTTCATAGGAGATGAAATAGCTGCTGGTGATTTAGAATTCATCTCTACCAACAAGATTAAATAAGGTCATCAACTGATCAAGCCAACAAATTCCTAACCATTGGAGCTCGATAGGGATCGAATACCTCTCTTTTGATTGGAGAGAAGAGTACAGTCAAATCCATGTTGATGAGAGTACTTGTAATGAAATCTATCGATTTATTGAAACTGGACTTTCTCAATCAAATTCAATCATGGTGCATGGGATCCATAACCAGAGCACTTCCTACTTGGCGATCTCTATCTACCTCATGATGAAATTCAGCTGGAGTTTGAGACAAACATATGATTATATGGTGATAAAACAGCCCAATTTCTTCCTCACTCCTCACTTTGAGTCTATAGCTGAGCTAGTCGAGAAATTTGTTAGCCTAAGAACTCAGCACGAATCACAGAATTCAATAACAGCACAAAAAGATTCTGCCATTGCTAAAGGTAAAGTTAATAAACAAGAAGAAGAGAAGAATGACAAAGTGGTTATTTGGAACACCTTCATTAACACCAAGGTTGGATTTGACCAAAATCAAGCACCTCAGGTGGATACTGCTGGGTCTACCAGAATGCCCAGTGGCAGAAATGATCTACCAAAGATCGCCGAAGAAGGTATCCATGGCTTTTCATATTTAGAAAACAAAGAATCGGTCAAAGATTCAAGTGATAATAGACAGCAGTACCAAGGAATGGAGTACTCCCAAGGCAAAAGCTCATCAGGTGTCCGTTGGCCTGATGAAGATGGGTCTACAAACCCTATATCCAGAACTATCCCAGGTTCTGAGCTAGAGCCATCATGTTCTGATGGTGTAATCGATAAAATAACTGCTCACAAACGATTCCCTTCCTACAAAGTAAAGCCAATAATAAAGCAGACGAATATGGCATGGATCCCTGAGAAAGAGGGGTACCAGAAGAATTACCTTTCATTTTACCCAAAGAACATCCAAGATAGCTTTGTTTCGCCTACTTCTCAATGCAAGATGGCTCAAACAGAGGATCACTCAAGAAGGATATTCACCAATGACTTTGATCAATATAATGATGAAGTCCACGATGCCATCTGAGAAAATATATCAGGCAATGATTTACACAAATTCGTAAAATATCCACATAATAATTTAGGTTCAAGATCCTCAGGATATCATTAAAGGTACCTAAAGTCATTATTTTAGGAGTTGTAGCTGCTAGCGAAGAAGTAGGAGCTGCCCAGCAAGCTCCTCTTGTTGGATACAGCAATTCAAATGCAAAATTTAGAGCCCAAAACACACAGGATGAATATGTAATAGATGTAAATTATTCTTATAGAACAACTCTATGAAGCAATTGCCTCCTGACAGAGTAGAAAAGTAAGCTTGAAAATAATTTTATCTTTTAGGATTACACTTCCATTAAAGGATTTCTTGACCACATCTAGTAGTCTCTTAGGAAGAACAAAGAATAGGTTTAGATCAAGCCAAGAGTGGATGAACAAGGCCAGACCTTTTAAAAGAAAGAATCTAAACTTTTATCCTTCCTCAAGACTCAATCCAGAGAAAGGACCTAAGTCTCGCAGAATTTATTCTAAGCCACAGTCTGCGAAAAGAGGAAATGCACATCAACAACCCTTAGTCCCGTACCAGCGCAATCTGTTAAGCAGAGGGATGGGAAGGATGACTAGCAGGAACATGCCTAAAAACATTGTTCATCTCAGCAATAACCCACCAACAAAAAGCAAGAAGTAAGTGTGTAAATTATTTTTGTAGGGCTCTGTTTTCTCAGTCTCTAAAAGAGACTAACTCCTTCTTCGTCATTGGTCACAATAAGGCTTTACTCAAAGATGGGAATATCCTGGTAGATCATGGAGAAGCCAACGAAGTCCAAAGATTAAGGAATCTTAAAAGTAAATCTAAACTAATCCCCTAGAAAACAAACCCAAAATGAGAAGAAAGACATTCAGTGCTAAGCCTAAAGGGAAGACTCTGGACTCAAATAACAATGCTGGCTATAGGATGTCTCATGCAGGTAAGTCTTGTCTGAATAAAGAGTACAGACCTCAAGAATTTAGCCATAAAGACCAAAACCGGTAGATCCTCTAATAGGAAATACATAAAAATTAAAAATTCTTCTGGGCTTAGTTCTAATTTATCCAAAGTACAGATTAGAGGAATTAAGAAGCAGAGGAACCCTAAGAATCTGAAGGCAACCAAGAAGCCAAAGAATATTGATGAATTAGACAATTTAGGTTCGAGTAATTACCAATCTCTCAAGAAGAACAAGCTTTAAGCTATTTTTAAGACAAATTATCACTCTTTTGCAGAAATCTTCAGATAGTTTCAACTCGAAATCATGATCACGGGGTTTTGGGGTTTTGGGGTTTTGGGGTTTTGGGG